ATTACCAATAAAAAAGTTACTATGGCAACTTATAATTCATTTTATTGTGAGAAAGGATTGATCATAAAACAGGAATATACATGTACATGCATGATAACATTTGAAATGATTGTGATATGTAAAACTAATGAAAAGAAACAATGAAATGCAAAAATGACAAATGAGTTCAAGGATTGCTTCACACCTTCACCAAAAGAAATAGATTACACTCAGAATCAATGTATACTACATGTAGCTGTAGAGTACTATAGGCTGGCTGGAAAAGAAGCTTCTGAGAAAGCATTGATCATAAAAGCAGATATATGTTTGTACAAGTATGACACTTGAGAAATAAACACACTTACATTGGCCCTGCCATATGGTTATATGTTCCCTATCAATAAGGAAACTACTTTCATATCTGAGAAATGGTACAGTATAGCCACATAAAACATCATAGTAAGATTTAATATACATGTATCTAATATATCTAAGACAAAAAGGATGCTGGCATGGGAGTATTGCCCATGTTCAAACTGCTCTAGACAGCAAACCATACAATGTAACTGTTTTAATAAGGATCCAGCCACAAAATAAACTACCAAATATTCTAAAAACAACTAAAATTCATGATACATGTACTGGTAAATGTACATTGTATAATTGTACAATTATAAGACAATTATGAAATAAAAGCATATACATGCTAGTACAATAATATGCATAATCTTACAATTGTAAGATTATGCATATAGCTGTGTGATGTATTATTAAATGTAGCATGTACATGTAGTTATGTGCATGATATCATACATGAACAGAGCTATAAAAAGCCTTACATGAATGAATATAGGAGAGAAAAAGAGAGAGAAGGGGTGAGAGAATGTAATGTACAAGAGAGATGGAGAGCATTTTTATACATGCAACAGTTGTACGCATCATGTATTAAAGGTGCATTAAAAGATAGAGGATTGAATATTTTTAATTCAGTCAATTAAGGATTAAGGGCAAGAACAATTGGCTTCATTATCCTTGTACATGTACATTACAGTAGGATTCATAGCAGGGATAAGGAGGGAGGCAAGGAAGGAGGAAGAGAGGGAGGGAGAGATTAAGATAGGCAGGCACAGATACAGACAATGTAAGAGATATACCCAAAATGGTTAGGATGCAGGACACGTGTAGTGCAATGGGTATGACTAAATATTAAAATAATTATGCTAATATAACAGTTAACCTTATTAATTATTGATGGCAGTGGCATTTGAAGTTCCTGATCCCTCTTTATTTTTCTGGACATGAGTGGAGAACTGATAATATTCAATAATTGCTTCTCTTTCAGTATTAAGATCTCTTCATCCTATGTATTGAGACATAAAGAACAACACAGAGAGGATGGAGTACATGTGCATGTAGTGCATATGTCATATATTATAATCCCATTTCCTGATTACTCATAAAGAACAAGTACAACCCAAATATTTCTAAATGTATGTGTGTATGCCACCACAAACACAAATATAAAAGCAAACACAAATACACAACCACATACATAGACAATTAGAAATACACAACCACATACATATACAATCAGAAATACACAACCACATACATATACAATTAGAAATACACAACCACATACATATAGAATCAGAAATACACAACCACATACATATACAATCAGAAATACACAAACACATACATATACAATTAGAAAAACATAAACATATACTTATACAATCAGAAATACACACAACCACATACATATACAATCAGAAATACATAAACACAAGCATAAAAATCAAAAATACACAACCACATACATATACAATCAGAAATACATAAACACATACATATAGAATCAGAAATACACAACCTCATACATATACAATCAGAAATAGATAAACACATACATATACAATTAGAAATACATAAACACATACAAATACAATCAGAAATACATAAACACATATATATACAATCAGAAATACATAAACACAAGCATATACAATCAAAAATACACAACAACATGCATATACAATCAGAAATACATAAACACACACATATACAAATAGAAATATATAAACACATACATATACAATCAGAAATACATAAACACAAGCATTTACAATCAAAAATACACAATCACATAGTGGCACATACATATACAGTCAGAAATACACAACCACAAACATATACAATCAGAAATACATAAACACATACATATACAATTAGAAATACATAAAAACATACATATACAATTAGAAATACATAAACACATACATATACATTCAGAAATACATAAACACAAGCATATACCATCAAAAAAACACAATCACATAGTGGCACATACATATACAGTCAGAAATACACAACCACAAACATATACAATCAGAAATAGATAAACACATACATATACAATTAGAAATACATAAACACATACATATACAATTAGAAATACACAAACACTTACATATACAATTAGAAATACACAAACACATACATATACAATTAGAAATACACAAACACATACATATACAATTAGAAATACATAAACACATACATATACCATCAGAAATACACAAACACATACATATACAATTAGAAATACACAAACACATACATATACAATTAGAAATACATAAACACATACATATACAATCAGAAATACACAACCACATATATATACAATCAGAAATACATAAGCACATACATATACAATTAGAAATACACAAACACATACATATACAATCTGAAATACACAAACACATACATATGCAATGAGAAATACATAAACACATACATATACATTCAGAAATACACACAACCACATACATATACAATCAGAAATACACACAACCACATACATATACAATCAGAAATACATACACATGTATACAAATCCAGTTTGCAGTATAATCATTAAAGGGAAATGATAGCATGACTATATAAGTGCAGGATATACTGTATAGCAGGAAATTTTTGGAGGGACTAAAACTTGGCAAATTGCTAAATTTTGGTGATTGGCAATTTTTAATTTGGCTAATTTGTGGCCATGTGCCATTCAATTGAGTATGCTTATAATGGCTCACAATGGCGGATTTTTATTTTGGCGATTGCTATCAAAACGCCTAATTTGCGAAATTTAATCCCCTCTAAAATTTTCACTATACGATATGGTATATATGACACAACAAGTACATATCTAAGAGTGTATCTTCATTTTAAGGTATAAGGTAAAACATACACTTCAATTAGGCAGTTTGTGGTCAGAACCAACAATCAATAATTGTAACAGATGTAGCAATTCAAAGCATGTAACATGTACATGTATGTGCATCCTTGTACCAAAAACTCGATCCCTTTGTTTCTCTCTCAGTCTCTCTCCCCCCTCAGATCCCTCTCTTTCTCCCTCTTATCTCGCTTTCATATTCAGATAAACTTGTAAGTCACTACATGTACATGTATTTGTGCAGTAAGGTGAAGGAGCTCATTAACACATACATAAATACATAATTAAAGCAATCTATCAATGCCTAGGACACTTTTAACATACATGTATAATATCTTTACACAAAATTGATATTAGTCTAACCAATTATAAATATAAATCCCTTCATATATAGTCAACCGGGGCTATTTCATTCCGGGGCTATTCCGTTTCTTTAATACACCAATGGTAAAACACGTGTAGTCGCACGGAATAGCCCCGCCTAGGGGATGTTCTTTCTAGGCTTATAACTTGGGAACCATGGAGTTTTAAGACCCAAAACTGGTACCAGTGGATCTAGGATGGATCAAGCTATAGAATGGCACCAAAGATGATGTATAAATCAACGAAACGCGGGAGAAAAACATGGGTAAATAGATATGATACTTTAGTGTGGTTATTGAATTTTGTCTCAATTTACAGGTGAGAGAGCTGATTTTAGCAGTAAGAAACACGAAGGATACTTTTAGTAGCTACTACTAAATGCATTAGACTTTTATAACAATAATAAATTATTATGTATGATAAAACCATATGCTGATAGTGCGTCATTACATGAGAGACAAAAAAATAAAATTAAAATGAATGAAGATGATATGGAAAAGGCAATTGATCATGCAAAGAGGTAGGTATAAGAATATCAAAGGAGCAGTTACAACTGGAT